CCTAGTTAGCAAATTGCAGTTAGTATATCATTGTTCTCTGCACAAGAGCTCTTTATACTGTAACTTTAAGTTTTAACTCTGATTCTTCATTATGAATGCTTCAATATATCTGATTCATCACTGCACTAGGTCTGATTCTGCAAAATATGATTACAGCTTAATATGTTAAGTTTTATGCTTTGGATTGTTCTTATTAGTCAAGAAAGTAACCAGGGTCATTCTGGAAGCACGGGTGTGCATGCTGTATGGTCTATTCACTTCCTGAAGTGGACTAATACATTCTGCATGAGCACAGGTAATAAATGACTTATAAAAGGTCACCCTCATATACTTCACTGTAATATTCCAGCAACGGGTTTGCCAAACCATGATCAAAAGGCACAAGAAAACATATTTACTGTGTGTTGAGTGTCAAAAATTAGATCCTATATAAGGATATTAACCACTATTTGTCATCGCTGGGCCACGTTGAGCTGAATTAGCCAATCAAGCCATCCTGTTATAAGATCCATGCTCATTCAGGGTCACTTTCCATGACCCAGAAGCTGCCTGATGGTTCTCACCTCTGCTGGTCTCAGTGGCTTAACTGGTCACGAGTCGACCCTTAGCCCCATTCCCAAGGGGTGTAGGCTCCACATCCTTTACAAGACGACATTGGCCATATCCATCTGTGTCCATTTATGGTCTCAAAAGGGCAAAGTACCACCTAGGAAGCCCAAGTGGATTCCTGCATTCCCCTTGAATTTCTTCTGATCTCCGCCGTGTAAAATTAGCCAGACCTTGTTCCAGTAAAGAGAGTCACTCTACTCTACCAAGACAGTGAACTCTCAACTTGTCTTTTGGTCCCTGGACACAAAGAACCACAAATATCAGAGTAGCAAAGCTTATAATGAGATACTCTTTGGGTCCCATGAAGGTGCTGCCAATGAGGACATAGAATTTGAGTCATCCAGAGCTCAAAGCCCTTGGGAAGGAAGAAACATATACCCCCAGAAAATCGTGGCGGTGGTTAACAGTCCCTGCTTCATTCCTCAGAGCTTATGCGTATTAGCTTCCTAGAACAGCTGTTAAAACTTATCACAAAGTGAGTGGCTTAAAATAACAGATTTATTTTCTCACAGTTTGAAAAGTCAAAAGTCTGAAATGAAGGGTGCTTGTAGTTTGTTCCTTCTGGAGGTTCTAAGGGATAATGTGTAATTCTCTCCCAGATGTTGCTGGCATTCCTGGGCTTGGAGCAGTATCATTCCAACATCTTACTCCAAATAAACAGCTGACATTCTGAGGTTCCAAGTGACAAGAATTTGGGGTGGCACTGTCAAACCCATCACACATGTACCATGCCTGTTACAGTGATTCTTCTACTGTAGCTTGCCACAAACTCCACAACACACCTTATCCCATCACTCACATAACAATATATTCCAATACAATAGCAGGTAACGTGCGGGTCAAGAAGCAGGGCTGCTTCCACTGCAACCTAGACCTGCTGCCAAGGCCTTTGCTGCGGTGGGCGCCATTCAAGAGCAAGCGGCCTTCTGCATTAGTCAGGGCCAGAGCACTATCTGCAGGAATGAAATATGGTGTCCGGATGTAGAACTCAAGAGACTCACCAGGCTTTGTGCTGCCTTCTTCAGGAAACAAAGGTTTATGTAGTCATCTGCTTCTCACTCTGGAGGTGAGGAATACTAAGATGTATGAATTTGGCATGAAGTTTTTAAGGTTTATCCTTTGAAAATCTACGAGGTTTCTCTCCTCCCTCTGGAACATGTCTCACCAAGGCCTCAGGGTTTTAGCTTGTTTATTCAGCCTCAGCAACATAATGTTGCCATGCAAAAGATCTGAATTCTTAAATAGCATAGTTAATGAAGCCCTAAGACATATATTCGATGTATTTTTATCGTATGTATCTGTTATTGCTTAACTGAGCTTGCAATTGTCTCTAGTCCTCTTTCAGAATCAGTGCCTGCAGGAGCTGGCATGGTGAATTCACGTAGACCATCTGAGACCATCACCTCTACACCCTTTAGATCCCTAACAGTGGCACCAAGTTCACCCATCGTTCTGCTCAGTGAGATTGTGTCACTCTGGGCTGAAGGAAGGACAGCGCTGTGGTTTGGGTCTTGAATGCTCCCTCCACTGGCCCATGTTTAAAGACATGGCTGCCAGGGTAGTGCTATTGGGAGGTGGGACCTTTAAGAGATAGAGCCTAGTGGGAGGTCTCTATGCCATTGAAGTTGCGCCCTCAAAGAGGGTTTGGGACCTTGCACCCTTCCTCATCTTTGCTTCCTAGTCATCAGGGGAGCAGTTTTGTTCTCACCCTCTCGTGCCATGATGTATTTCCTCACCACAGGCTCAAAGCCACAAGCCAATCAATCACAGACTGAACCAACTGAACCAAAATAAATGTTTTCTCTTATAAGTTGATTACCTCAGGTATTTTGTGATAGTAACAGAAAAATGACTAACATGGATACTTAAGTTTCCAAGGCTCCCCTTGGCTTTCCACATAATCATTTAAACCACCTTAAGAACACTGGCCAGAACCCCAAACTTCTTCCTCACTCTAACAGGGAAGCAACAAGGGCCCTCAGTTTCTGGTTATCAGTGTCACTTCAGACTCTTTGTCCAATGGTTCTTGAAATCCCTTATGTTCCTCCTTTGCCAAGGATACAATTATTAAAGGGCTGCAGAGCCCCTTGGGAAAGCAGTGATTCACTACCTTGTACAGGTGCCAGGCTGTTACTCCTGGGACCCTAAGTCAGGGGTTCCCAGTCTGAGAACTGACTCAGGTTCCGAAATTGAGTAAGGGATGACAACTTTGATTGGAGTGATCGCCCTCATCCTTCATGTAACCCACCCTTGATTTTGTCTCATGATAAACAACAATATCCTTTTTGACTATTTCCTATGCTTCTAAGGCTAGCTGTGATGTATTAACCAGCAGGCTAAGTCCCTTTGACTACCATTACCACTCTGATAGTCAATACATTGTGACCCCCTCACTTTTGGCAATCACACACTGCCACTTGACTATTATTTTTCAGTCTTATCACACACTACCATCAGCAAACTAAGCTCTGTAATAGTCTTTCCCTGGGAGCAGAAGTGATCCACAGAAATCTACCTTAAATTTTAAGTGATGCTTGTGCCTTGTCATCAGAGTATCTTCAAGGCCTTGTTAAACGTAGCAGAACTGGCCTCCTGAGAGCTGTTCAGTGACACTTGTGGCATGTCCTCAGTGCAAGTCTCTACAGCCTTGTTAAATGATTTCCACCAGGCATTTTCACAGAGCATAATCATCTGACAGTTTTCCAGTCGAACAGCCTATCTGTTCTTTTCTTTCCTCCACCATCTGTCATAGCAATCTTCACTCACAATGGGTCATTACTTTTTCCATGCTTCTAAAAGCCATCTCCCAGGATCCTAGCAAGGGTGTTAAACTTTGTAACTTAGCATAGCTCTTATCCTGCAACCCAAATATCCAATGTGGGGGCTACAGGCAAACTCTGTCTTAATTTTCTATTCTGATGCTCTAGATTAGTAGTGTCAAACCCACAGTATCCATGTTATTGTGTTTTTTAAACAAAAGACGTCAATGTATGAGGTGTTTTTTCTAAAATACCAAAGCATTCAGGTTTAACTGCAGTGTTGGTAGCACCTGGCAATAAACAAGTGGGTTTTAGGTTGCAGTTTGGCACTCAGTCGCAAAGGTTCACCATCAGTGGTCCAGATGAAAAACTGACTCCAGTCCCAAGCTTACACCAGCTCTTCCCAGGACATGCTAACACAGTCCTGCCATTTCTTTGAGGTATAGCCTGCTGCTTCGGGTCCATGATCTCACTCAGCTTTGCTTAGCCTTAATTATTTTAGGCCCAGAGATTATACTAACCGTAAGGGCCTGGAGAAAAGGCAAGTCCTGAAAGGAGCACATGTTGCCTAGACAAAGAAGCCTTTGCAGTCATGCAGTTTGGGAAATGGGTGGAGAATGCTTGCCCTGAGAGGGGCAGTCTGCCTCTGCAAGCTCAGAAAATTCAGTCTAGGGAACGAAACACTTCAGCAGCACCCACTTGATATGTCCATCTTTTTGGATCTTGGGTTTTCCCAAACAATTCCCTGACCTTGGCATAGCAGATCTCTCCTGGTGGCGAACTACCCCTGGAGTTTGTCCACTTGAGATTAAGTCTCGGGCTTGGTACTCAGTTTCCTAGCCACAAGACATGAAAAGCTTTTTCCCAGACAAAGGCCCTCTGGCTTTCACACCTGGTTCTCCATTGCCTGTTACAGCCCTCAGCTATTCACTGGACTCTAGAATAAAAATGGTGCAGCACAGCCAGCCAAATTTTCTCCCTATATCTATAACGCCAGCCAGCCAGATAAAGCTTCTGCCCCTATTATCATCCCAACTCCATAGTGAAAGCTGTAACAGCTGGAATTCATGCCACCAGTGACGGCATCTAGACAGCTGAGCTTTGTGTCCACCATGGTTTCCGCAACCTACTCCCATAATAGGCAAAAGGAAAAAAAATAAAGCCAATAGTTTATAGGAAAGCACTGAAATGAAAAATAATTTTTAAAAATGAGAATAAGAAAACACAGATAAAGTATCAAATGTATTTAGTGAAATAGTACTAGATTTATTCAAAAAAACTAATACTATTTCTGGTAGAGTGTCTCTGAAAAATAGCTAGTTGGTCACCTTTGTCAATACATTTAGGCATTAAAAATAGGTACTTTTCAAGACATACACTGTGAAGAGATGAATGAGTCAACTGTTCAAAACATGAATGACTACCTAACAGCGGTATTTAATGAAAATTTAGGGTATAACAATGTACAACTTTCATTCTGTGGAGAGACATTAAAAAAAAACACAGTAATCTATCCATTATGTTTTATGAAATCAAACAATGAATCTATAAGCAATCCTTTTTTTTTTTTTTTTGGTACCGGGGATTGAACTTGGGTCCTTGCGCTTGCAAGGCAGGCCACCAAACCGCTGAGCTAAATCCCCGGCCCCTATAAGCAATCCTTTTTAATAAAATCAGTAATTTCAAATAAATATATTACCATTCTATCCCTTTGTTCTATATATATGTACTTAATTGCCAAAATCTTACTAGACTACTGAAATCACTAATAATTCAATCCACGATACATTTGTCTGGAGTGATGAAGTCTTACATTTGCAATATGTTTTCTTATGCTAGAAGCCTTTAAAAATGCCATGCCCTACTCCTTAGCCCAAAGTAGTCTTCTGCGCAGGGCCTACCTGAGGGTACTTTTGAATACCCACATATTTTTCATCAACACACCAGATCCTGCTCGTCTCACAAAGGACCGCCACCGACCAGGCAGGTAGCTCACCTAGTTCTCCTGTTCCTCAAAGTGAGCATAGCCACTGGCATAGGTCCTTCCTAAATTCAAATTAGTAAACAAATCTGACGACTCAGCATCTGAATCCTTTCCACCTTCATCTTCTTCCTCTTCATCATCATCTGCTTCATACTCCTCCTCCTCCTCATGGTAGCTAGCGTCACCATACTTGTCAGACGAAAGGTTCTTCCAATAAGCGTCATACCCAGAAGCTCCGTCTCCCTCTTCGGCTCCAGCCTGCCTGCCAAATTTCAGGGAGCGTGCTACAAAGACAGGCACGCAGCGTCTGGTTAATTCTAACTTTGTACATCCTCATTTTCTTCTATAATAAAAGTACATGAACTTCACTGACTACCCTCCAATAAACAGAGAGACCATTACTTTTCTAATTTTTGTATGTAATCAATCTACACTCACAAATAACAAAGATTGTAGTGGCATTTCATTAAATATAGAAAGACTTAAAAACTGACTTTTTACTTCTTCTGCCTTAGAAGTGATACAAAGTTGGAAGCAGAAAAGGCAGAAAATCATCACTCATCTCATTGTGCAACTTTATCTTTCATTAAACAAAATAGTGTCAGAGGCACTGAGAATTTGCTTTCTTCTGACATGTTTTGTAAAGAGTCAGACTTCTATTTAACAAAATGTTAGCTGCATTACTATAATCAGGGCTGTAGTAGTCTTACTACATCATAAAAAATCTGTAATAACCACAAAACAGTTTTCTACAGTATTAACATGTTACATAATAAGCACTGTATGAAAATACTACACACCATTAAGAGTAACTTCAGAATGAATCTGACTTCCAAGAACTAAAAATTACCACCACCTGGCTACCAGGGATTTGTTCATTTACTTACTAACAAAACAGAAAAGTCATTTTTCAACCTCAAATATCAGTAATGCTGTCATTAACTGGAGTAAGTACCAAATGTCAAAATAAGTGCTCGTGTTTTTCTTAAGTTAAACTGAAAAATTACACCCACATTACTTTCCAAGGCTATAAAATTCCACCTGCTTAAGAGAAGATACTCAGGGGCCAGGGATTTAGCTCAGTGGCACTGTGCCTGCCTCGCAAGCTCAAGGTCGTGAGTTCAAGCCACAGTAC